GAACTATGCTCATCAATGCCTCGTTGGATGAATTCGGGAGGTACCTCAGAAGAACTCCTGGCAGCCACCACATCACCCCTCATGCAAGTGAACAAACGGTGATGTACCGTATCTGGAGCTCCGCAATCACAACGACCGTCCGTCTCATAACCTTTGCATCTCGCCCTCTCACGTGTCCATATTCCACCGAGCGCGAATGATTTGACCAGGAACTTCTGGTATGAGGTGTACTTCGAATACTTCTCTCTCACGAACGTCCGAAGAATACCATAACTTGTTCGCATGCCAGCTGGAAGCCCTCTCTTGGCAGCCAAGTCGAGCTCCAACTGTCTCTGTAATGACTCAGTCAGCCGCTTCTCCAGCATGCCTGGTGTGAATTGTTGCAATGGCACTTCAACTCCTCGATGGTCCAGCCAGGCATCCCACTGCTTGATTGTCCAACCAACCCTGCGGACACAAAGAGCAGCTCGCTCAAGGGGGCCTCGCGAAGACGCCCACGCTAGATTCTCAAGCGGGCGGTCCTGCAGGGCTTGTGTCCACCACGTTCGGAGCTGCTCCAAAGAAACTAATGCCGTCTCTGGTGCCAGGACTGCTTGCCATATCATTCTTGACCACTGCAGAGCTGGGGCAAGTGCTTGGCGCGCTGACGGATCATCATAGAGTGCAGCCTTTGAACTTGCTGAAATCCCACCGTGGCATGGTTTCACGAACTGAAAGAACTGTCTACGTAAAGCACTCCATTCAGAATCTGACAGGCCTGTGATCTCCACACCGAAAGTCAGGGCTGGTCGCGCCCCTGTTCTGAAGATCTTGCCTGTCCTCTCGTACTTCTTGGTGGGGATAGCCTTTCGATACCGAGCAATTTTCTTCAACCGATGTTGAAAACGTCGACGTCGACTCTGTTGCTTCTTCCGCGTGGCTGCAGCTCGTCTTGATCTCCCACCAGCCTGATCAGTTCCAAGATGCGTAGCTGCTCGCTTGTTGGAAGAAGGCTCAAACCCCAATCTGTCAGCAACCTTGTCACCAACTCCAGATTCGGAACATACGATTGAGAGCTTGTTATTGAACTTGGCCCCCAATCTCGTCGCAGTCGTCTGGAAACTGCGACCAACCCTCACCGCCATCTCGATCAACTCATCTGTGGTGTCCGCTTCGATGCCTAAGCTGCTGTCGTCAATGTAGGACGAAAAATGCAGCTCACTGTGCAAAGCCACGAATCTGTCGTACTCCTCCAACGCATGTACCTTGATCCCCACATCCGCATATGCATCACCCGCTGGGCGCGGACAGGTTGGAGGCAATGGTGCCTCATCAATCGAATGATTCGTGGTGCCGACCAAGTATTGAATAATAATTTCGCCAAACACGTGGGAGCTCCATATCTAGAAAACTTCTCCCTCACCGTAACTAAGTCAATGGTCTCATAATACTTGCTATAATCAGAAATGGTCTGCAAGCTCTTCCTTTTATCATGTGCGCAAGCTTCGACACGAGCAGCAACCTGCCACGCAGAATCGATAGCGGATCGTCCCGACGAGGCCCCCCACTACACACGGCGTAGAAGCTGCTGGAGTGGTGCAAGCTCAGGTCGACGAAGCCGTTGCCATACACGATATACCGATCCGTACAAAACAATAAGTCGATGTCCTTCCATCGGCTTGGGAAGCATAGGCATGCAAATCCATAACATCTGCTTCGGTAACATTCCCAAAGATTCGAATGCTTCGAACAACGTGCCAAGGATGCCGAGGCTCTCATCGCTCAAGAGCAGCAGGTGTCTAGGATGTAGACCGTCCGGAGACCCTGCAGTTGATGTGGAAAAAGTTTGAGCGACGGCCCTGATGTCAGCAGCAGTTGCTCTCGGAAAGGAACTCCTGTCTGGTATCCATGCTTTGGGCGCCTCGGAGCTAGCATCCCACAGCAGTCGATACTCATCTGCAGCAGTCTCGACAACAGCGCGTGGATGTGCAGACGGAAGCCCGTCAGCGGTGACCACCGTCGTCTCGTTGACCTGATGATACTGCGTAATCTTGTGCAAAGCTCGTGCGCCTCCTGCTGCAGCTTGATCGCACCAATTTTTCCAACGTTTTTGAGATTCTCTTCCAGCTGCCTGCTTCGCAAACTCAACGTCCTCGTCAATCTCCTGAAGGAATTCAGCAATCTGCTCTGGAAAGAATCGACCTGCTACCAATCGTCTCGCCTGTGACACACCTGCATCCAATCTCGAACATAAATGAACCCCAGGATACGGTGACGTCTGAAAAAGCATCAGCTCGTCGTCAAGCATCGCAGCTTTCTCCTCATCGCCATTGCTGGATGCCTGCTTCAACAGACTGAGACCTTGCAAAGCATCCGAAAACCACTTCCATCCATCCGCTTGTGCAGCAAGGCCTTCCGCATCACTGCCATTGTAAGTCACACCGACCCACTTCGGCTCGATGCAGCGCGCATACGAGCCAGGACACTTGACTTCCTCACCCGTCATGATACCAATTATCTCAGCAGCTCTGGTGATGAAACTTCCCCAAGCCAAGGTAAGAAAACCCCATGCAGCATCCGAAGGTGACTCCTTGGCCATCTCAACCGCTGTGGAAGCATACCTACGCTCCAGTGACCAATCAAAGTCCTGCTGGGCGGGCCCAAACACCGCGGTTGTGGGGAGCTTTGGGACTGCAGCATACGTCAATATCTGAAGTCGATGTCCGTCAGCAGCCAGTTCGATTTGCACAGGGCGGTGTGGCTTGGTTTCCCACGTAGCATCAACCTTTATCTGCTTCAGTAATCGATGTGCCCCCACACTGAGACAAAAGAAATCAATCGTACTCGTTGATGATGCCGTCCTGCACGTGACCGATGCTGGAGCAACAATTTGCACTTGGGCAGCCCTGGCGAACCCTGAAGACTCAAGTGCCGCCTTGTCGAGATCCCAGTCACCACCGATGATGCTAGGCGAGGTGAGCCCAGCAAGGGACTGCCCAATGCAAGAAAGAATCCTTGAGTTGCGCACAGTCAAACCCTCAGAACAATGAAGGTACAAATTGAAAATATGCATCTCTGGCCAACCTGGCACATCAACCACCACATGTAGCGCCCTGTGGGCGACCAGAACTCCAGAGACAGTCTGACCATCAACTTGAGGACGTCGAAGACCAACTTCAGCACGTGCGAACACAGCCACTCCCGCAGAGGGAAGATGGCCCTTGGTCTCATGCCCTGGTTCAATGATAACGCTCCAGCCACGTCTGGCAGCCCAAGAGGAAATCTCCTCCGCATTGTGTGAAAAATAACCCAGCTCCTGTGCCAACACGATTATGGCTGAGGTGCGTTGCAATCTGCGTTTCAAAGTCTCTCGACCTTGATTGGCATTGAACGTTTCAACTAACCGAACCTGCTGCTGGCCAGTACGTGGTACGGGAGCAGCACGCGTCTTACCTTGAACAACAGATAATCCACTCACCAATGGACGGTTGCTAAAGGTCCTCTTGATCATCACCAACTTTGCGAACTTTCGTCTTCTGGAGTGCGTTGACCATTTCTGCAAGCTTAGCGGGTCGTGTCTCTTCGCTCTCCTGCTGCAACTTGGTCCACACCTCTCCAGCTTCTGACTCGGACAAATCGATCTCGGGTGGTGGTCGCTTCTCGCCAGCACCTCCACCTGCAGGCCTCTCAGCAGCAGGAGGAGCCACAGGCCCAGCATGAGTCCTGCCCTCCATGGGGTCGTCGACCGTCCCTGCGGGGGCAACGCTCTCGAAAATGATATGCTGGAACTTCTCGAACTTCGGGTGTACGCTGAGGTCCTTGAACAACTTCTCAAGCTCGGCGTCCTCAGCGCGGATGAGGTTGGAGCCCAGCTGCTTGATGAAATCCTCGGGGGCTCCTGCAGCTTCAGCTCCTCTGGGACTTCGCTGCTTGCGCAACTTAGCCGCCGACATTTCAACTTCCACTTCGAGTAAATCAACTTCCTTTGACTTAGCCTCGAGTGCAGCTTTCTTGCCATCCAACTCATTCTGAGGTGATGACAACCTTGCCGAAAGTTCCGATATCTCATACTCCATCTTCGTCTTCTGGGACTTGCAGCGTTCGAGCTTCTGGAAGGCCGCCTTGTGTGCCGACACTGGCGGGCGCATGGCTCTGTGCTCTTCACGGAGCTGGTCCAATCTTTTCTTTGCCGCTGGCAAGTCAGGATCGTCCTCGTCCAGCTCCTTCGTCTGCTTGACGAACTGGTCGAGTACATCAATGCGCTTCTGAAGCGCAGCTCTCTTGGCATAGTCCGTCTCGTTACCGTCGGGGTCCTTGGCCGTCGTGTCACCTCCGTCACCCTTGGCCACGACACCCTTCTCAGCCTTGACTCTCTTGAGCTCAGCTGAAAGAAACTCCATCTGCTTCTGCATCTGCTTATACTGATCACTCCACGGTGCTGGAGACTGCGATGCACGTCGAGGCGCCGACGCAGGCTGCTGCGTCGCCTCTCTCGCAGCCTTCCTCGCCCGTTGGATGAATACCGTAGGTGCATCCTGTCCGCATCTGCACTTGATGCGGCTCGCCCAATTCGCCGATGCTCCGCAGGCTGGGCACCCCCATGTGGGCTTGCGGGGGCCTGGTAGTACCGGCCCCGCCATGAGCGCCATCGGGGAGGTCCTCTCGACCTCGCCCACACAACACTCGTGTTCTCCGTCTCAACAAAAGGGGGTTGCTCCTGCAGGAGCTCACTGCCACAATGGCTCGCTGCGGCGGTGCCGTTCTGAAGTCTGCCGCAGCAAGCTCAGGACACCTGAGCCAGAACGGCTGAAGGATGAGGAGAAGGAGGAGAAGGGGGGTATGGGGGGGAGGAGGAGAAGGAGGAGGAGGAGGAGGAGGAGGAAGAGGAGGAGGAGGAGGAAGGAGGAGGAGGAGGAGGAAGGAGGAGGAGAGGAAGGAGGAGGAGGAGGAGGAGGAGGTGGAGGAGGAGGAGGAGCCCAGGAGGCGAACCAACACGCAAAGGGCCAGGGAGGGCCGCCGACGTCGGCGGTCCCCCCGCTCCTCCTCCGAGGGCGGCGACGCCGGCGGCGAAGGCGTCGGCGACGGACACCCGCCTCGGCTCGTGGAGGGCGTAGCGACGTCGCTTCCCCTCGACTCGCGCTGGACCGTCCACGGTTTTTGCCCTCCCCTCCCTTCCTCCTCCTCCTCCTCCTCCTCCTTCCTCTCCTCCCCCTCCTCCTCCTCCTCCGCCTCCTCCTCCTCCTCCTTCTGCTCCTCCTCCTCCTCCTCCCCCCCTCCTCCTTCTGCTCCTCCTCCTCTTACGGCGGCGACGCCGGCGGCGAAGGCGGCGGCGACGGACGCCCCCCTCTGCTCGTGTAGGGCGTAGCGACTTCTGCTGCCCCTCGACTCGCGCTGGAACGTCGAAGGGTTGCCCTGGGCTTCCCTCGAAGCCTCCTCGGAATTTGCCTCGACCTATCTGGATCTACCCTCAGTGGGCCCCGGAAACGGCAGGGCCGTTTTTTGCACCGTTTCCGAACAAATATGGAGGCGGCAACAAAAACGGCTCCAGGATGGGAGCCCGAGATGGAACCGGCAACAAAAAAGGCGACGGGACCACAAATAAAAAACGGCGTCGGAACCGGCAACAAAAACGGCAAAACGGAACCGGGGAGAAGACGGCCCTGTCACTTCCAGGGCCCACTAAGCATCTACCTGGTTTTTTATCGAGTTGCGTCGATTTCCCAACGGGCCCTGGAAACGACAGGGACTTTTGTTCACCGGTTCCGTTTCGCCGTTCTTGTTGCCAGTTCCGAACCGTTTTTGTTACCTGTTCCGTCTGCGTTTTTGTCACCAATTCCTGCTCCAGTTCCAATGCTGGAGCCGTTTTTGTTGCCGTTTCTACTTGCCGTTTTCGAGCAGGGGATCGACTACATCATTGATTCACTCCAGAATTGACCTTCTCGTCGAACCTACGACACATACGTGGAATGATCTACAAGCACTCTACGCATTTGTCATACATTCTGCGCGACAATCAATCCTGGGGTACATTAATTATGTAGTCGATCCCCTTCTCGACGTGTTTCTGCCGCTCCCAGTTTCAAGAAAAACGCTTTTCCGGGAACGGTGACAAAACGGCCCTGCCGCTTCTGGGGCCCACTGTAAGGCAACGAGGGCCAGCGGCGCCTCCTCGCGCAGGGTGCGGATCTTCTCGTCGAGGCTGTCGAGCACCTGCCTGCCCCGCTCGCTCCTTAGGGGTGCGCGCCTCCACCCACAAGCAGAATCCCGATCCCTCCCCTACCTCTTTTCTCCTCCCTCCCTCTCTCCCTCCTCCCTCCCTCCCCCCTCCTCCTCATCCCTGGTCCTCGCTTGGAGGCCTCCTGGGCTGGGTCGAAGGATCGCGCCGCACCGCCAATGCATCGCCGATGCATCGGCGATGCATTGGCGATACATCTGCGACGTCGGCAATGCATCGACGCCATCGGCGTGGAGAACATCGGACTCCATATCGAGCAGCATCGCTGATGCATCGGCGATGCGGCCTGATCCTCCGACTCCATCTCGGACCCCAGCTAGGAGGCCTAGATCACTCCTTCTCCACCCCTTTCCCAACAAATCCGCCAGCCCTGTCGGCGTGCGTGAGGCGTTTTGCCGTTTCAGTCTTCGTCTTCGTCGTCGCCGTTGCCACTCTCCACCTGTCCCTGGGCCCTCCTCCTCGAGCGATCCAGTCAGACAGAAATCGAGTGACGTTGTAATCGAGTCGAAGGGAAGCGGGGGGACCCGGGGGTGTCACCGAGGTCGTGGGGGGGGGGTCTCAGTAGTCGTGACCCCCATGTCTTCAACCAAGACAGCCCAAGAGAGCCCCACAGAGCCGAAACAGGGTCGAACACCAATCGAGTCGAAGGGAAAGCTCTTGTCCCCTTCCCTGCCAGGAGGAGGGCCCCGGGAGGGGATCGCAGGGGGCGGTCTTGGGTGGGGTCCCAGAGGGTTCCCCAGGCTAGCAGGGCCCACCAGGACCCCTTCGAGGACTCGCGAGCGTCGTCAACGTCGCCGTCGTCGTCTTCGTCGTCCCCCTTCAGGGTCGGCGGCACCGGCCGTAAGGCCTTCGCAATACTCCCTCCCCGTCGCACCCAGAGACGTGTCGGTAGCGAGTGCCGGGCGTTTCGCCTGACACTTCCTCGCCATGTATGATCCTGGAGCTTGAAATCTGCAACAGTTTCACGGGTGGAGGGCTTCCGTTTATAAAATGCGGCTATCGCCCTAGCGTCGCGCACATTCGTCTCAAACGTTTGCAACAGCTCAACGGATGGAGGGGTGGCTGTTTTCAAAATGGTGCCCTCGCCTTTGCGCCGCTCACATTCGTTTCAAACGTTTGCAACAACGTCACGGACGGAGGGCGGGTCGCTTTCAAGATGTGGCTCTCGCATTACCGCCGCGCATACTCGTCGGAAAGCCTTGCAACCTTTTCAAGAATTGGAGGCGGGTGGTTTGCAAATTGTGGCAACCGCCCTTGCGCCGACCCCATTCGTCTGAAAAGTCTGCGCAATCGTTTCAAGGATCGAAGGCAGGTAGTTCCTTTTCAGAATGTGGCTCTCGCCGTAGCGCCGCGCACACTCGTTCTCAAAGTTCCCAGCAATTTCAAAGTTTCGTCAGGTCGAAGTCCCAGAAATTGCGTTCCGCCGCGACCCATTGGAGCGTCCAAAGCGGCCTCGGCGAGGAAGCCACACTCATTGGTTTTACAAGGGTTGTGGCCCACTTTGGCCTCTTGGGGTACTTGGAGCTCTCCTCTTGTTTGATCGATGGCCAACAAGATGGCCCGAAGAGCGTCCCTAAAGCTCCCAAGAGCGCTCCAAGAGGGCCCGAAGAGGCGCCCAGGCGGCTCCAAGAGACCTGAAAGAGGCTCCCGAGCCCCCCAAGAGGCCCCCAAAAGGCTTCAAGGGGATCCCCGAGGCACCCAAGATGCCCCCCAGACGCTCCAAGTGGCCCCCCCGAGGCACTCAAGACGCCCAAGAGCCCCCCAGGACCTCCAAGAGACCCCCAAGACGTCCCAAGAGGCCACCAGGAAGCGTCCGAGCGATGCCCCAAGAGGCTCCGAGAGGCATACCAGAGACCTCTGGCCCTGTTGCTCGCGCTCCTCCTCCTGCTCCTTCTTCCTTCTACTCCTCTTCCTTCTCCTCCTCTTCCTCCTTCTCCTCCTCCTCCTCCTTCTCCTCCGTCTCCTCCTCGTCCTCCTCCTCCTCCTCATCATCATATGCCTATCCCCGCTCCCTCATCCATCCATCCAGCCTCCTTCTCCTCCTCCCCCCTCCCTCGCACGGTTCGGCCGTCCAGCTCTTTGCTCCCGCGCTTCCCTGATCACCTCAACTCGCCTGGACATCGTTTCTGGATGGGCTGGTGGGGATACTTTTTAGTCAGCAGCCGCAGGCGAAAGCGCAAACGGCGAGTCGAGTCAGAGCGGGCCGCGCAAAGACGAATTACCTAAAGCGGCGGGGCCTCGGGCGTCACCACGGCGGGCGGAACCGGCGGGCGGGGGTGCAAGCTGCAGCTGCCAGGGGCTGAACCAGGACAGGCGCAAATTGGCCAACCAGGGCGCTGGTGGGGATACGCGTAGCGTCTAGAATTCCATTTTGGTGACCCATGAAGAGGGAACTCGGAGGGAGGGTGTATTGCTACACAGTTGATGCGTCTTGGGTTTATGCTGATCCATCCTCCTCCTGATCCTCCTCTATACCTCTCCTCCCTCCTGTGCATCCTTTCTTCGCCTGCCTCCTGTTTCTCCGCCGTAGTGCTGATGTTGCGTCCTTCTTCCTCACGCGTGCCCCTCTTCCTCCTCCCCATAATCGTCGTTCTCCCTCTTTGTGCAACACCCCCGTTCTTACTCAGGATCCATCTCATTATCTCCATCCTCCACCTCATCTTCCCTGAATCCTTCTCCATCCCACGTTCCGTCTGCTCCTCCTCCTTCCCTCTCCTCCTCTCTGCTCCCCCTCTCTCATTCTCCTTTAATGCGTATCTCCTCTAGTGTACCCCACTCATGCACTCCACCTTCAGCGCCTTACATCCCTTTTACCCCCCCCTTCCCCTCCCTCCAACTCCCTGCCCACTCCATCCACCGAGCCCCGCCAGCAGGTGTCCTTCCAACATTTGAATGCAGACGCAGCGCTAGACAGCCAACTATGACAACTCTAGCGAGCCGATCACCATCACCATCACCATCACCATCACCATCATCATCATCATCATCATCAGCATCATCAGCAGCATCATCATCATCAGCATCATCAGCATCACCATCATCATCAACGTCATCATCATCAGCATCATCAGCATCATCAGCGTCATCATCGTCATCATCATCAGCATCATCATCGTCATCATCGCCATCACCAGCATGAGTACCATCATCATTGCCACCATCAGCATCATCATCATCATCATCATCATCATCGTCATCAGCATGGTCATCAACATCCTCCTCATCATCATCACCACCACCATCAACATCACAATCATCATCGCCATCAACATCACCATCGCAATCATCATCGTAGTCATCATCACAATCACCGGCAGCATGATCATCATTGACAGCAACAGCAACAGCATTATCACCACCGGCATCATCAACATCATCATCACCATCACGCGCATGCTCATCATGAACAGCATCAAACATCATCATCGCCATCGCCATCACCATCGCCATCACAATCATCATCATCATCATCACCATCACCATCATCAGCATGATCGCCGTCATCTTCAGCATTTATCAGCATCACCATCATCATCACCCTCATCACCGTCGTCATCAAGAACACACCCGCCAGTCAACCTCGACTTCCTCGTGCTCCAGGCGGAACTGCACCAATCTGCCCGCAACTGCGGACCAGACCAACCGCTCGAGATTCGGAGCCCCAAGGTGATTTGACAAAAGATCGGATGACGGCCCATCCGCTGATCTGCAAGGCTCCTGCGATCGCGTGGCGCGTGGCCGCAAGCGGGAGACACGGGAGCGACGAAAACAAACAGGTCTTACGCGAGATGCTGAAGCTGCCTTAGGAGGCGGCTTACGCAGGCCGCCAACGCGGCACGCTACAAGAAAAGAACAAGGGTGCAAGCTTACGCGCGACCTTATGCTGGCAGCTTGCGCGCGAATGCCCTCGCAATAAAACCCGTCGTTACGGCTACACGCAGGAGTGACCCTGGGTAGGAGAGACCTTTGGTGCGTGGCTTTTGGGGGGCCGCGGGGGGCCAAACCCAGGCGCGCAAGACGCCAATTACTGGCGCATCTCTCGTTCGGTGATCGGGGGATCTCATTGGGCCCGCACTAGAAAGGTCACTCCGACGAATGGTCACTCCTGTGCTGCGTCGCTCACGAGAGGAGCACGAAGGTCCGGGGTTGCTGAAGGTGCCCCTGGCCGTAAGTCGGGCGTGTCCCCTTACATGGGGATTTTCGACGAAAAATAAAAAATACACCAAAAATGCCCCAAAGAGGCCAAGACATACTCAAAAAAATAGTCCCCGGACTATTTTTGTACTATTTTTTGACTATTTTGGGGTATCTTTTATTTCTCGTCGAAAATCCCCCTGTAGGGGGACAGGCCAGACTCAACCCTGGCCCAAGGTGCCCCCGGCTCTTCGCTCCATGTTGGAGCCCCTGGGCCCCCCTGGGCCTCGCGAGGGGGTGCTCTCTGGAGGCCGCGGGGCGCTCCTGGGACCTCCGGGGGGCACCCTGTGGACCAGGAGCGCTCCAATGAAGGGGCCCTGGGACACACAAACAAATACACACAAATAAAAGAATTCCCCATAGTTTCGCATATCTTCTGTGCTTTTGTCTTCCCCCCCACTGCCCATATGTTCCCCTACTTTCCTTGGGATCGGCGATTCATTGTATCTGTGTGCTTTTTCCCCTCCTGATCCTGGCAGCACCCGAGGAGGGGGGCCAGAGAAGGGCGCGGAGGGCGGGAGCGGCCGCCGGCTCTCGGGGACGTCCTCCTACACTGCGGACTCTGGACGAACAAAAAAAGACACCTGGAAAAGATGCCCAGAGGCAAAGATCAGCAGATCGCCCCCATACTTGACGAACGAACAACACACACCCATACCCATAGGGGGAACGTTGAGAGGAGGACTGGCTATGGGTATGGGTGCGGGTTGTCGGATCCTGGGGGGCGCTGCCTTTCGAGCGGGGACCCCCATCCGACAACACGCACCCATAGCACGCTCCGTCCCACCCATGGATATGGGTGCGTGTTGTTCGTTTGTCAATACTGGCTATCTTGTTGACCATTTTGGGCGATTCCTCCTGTAGAGGAAGATTCGGGCGTTGGCAGAGCTGGGCTTAGTGGAACCTGGTTTAATGATGTGTACTGGGGGACGCCCCCCCCCCCGCCCCGTTCCACTAATCGGCCAGAACTGCCGTCGCCCGAAAAAACACCAGCGATCGGCAAACCTGGTTTAGAAATTCTGGCCAGTTTAGGGGCTGCGGGGCCCTACCACTAACCGGGTCCCCTTACCTGAGGTCCTGGCCATACCCGCGAAACATGCCCGACCCGACGGAACCCTGGCGGCCGCCCCCGCCCCGCCGGCCGAGCAGGGCCGCGCGGGTGCCCAGGCCTTTGGACGCCCGAAATGGGTACGGAAAGAATGGGTAAAGGGCCCACCAGTAGTTCCTGCTCATTCCGAACAGGACTCGCTGTCGGTGTCGCCGCGGCCCGTCTACTTGAGACAGAAGGCCGCTGTTGGCTTGGGACAACATTTGTTGCTGAGCATTGTACCCATTCTTTCCGTACAGTCAAAGACCCTTAACAAGGACGCGCGACTTTGCTCACGGTACCCTTGCGTCCTTGCTCTTCTTTGCCCTTGCGTCCTTGAGGTTTTCGTCGTCCGCCGCCCCAAAAATCCCAACTTCGGCGTCCAAGGGTCTCGCGTCCTTCCCGCGCGCCCTCATTAGGGTTTCTGACTGTACCCGTTTCGGGCGGCCAGGCCGACCGCGCGGGCGCCGCCGCCCGCCGCCCCGAGGGCCCCGAGGGCCCTGCGGGAGCGCCCGCCTGGCCAGGGCGCGCCGCGGCGCACCAGAGCCCGCCCGCGCGGGCGGCGCCGCGGCGGCGGACGCGGGCAGCCGCGCGGCGCGCCGCCGCGGCGCCGACGTGGCCGCCCGGGCTCCCCGTCGGGCGACGAGGGCGACGAGGGCGACGTCCGCATCCGCAGGGTCGCCGTCCCGCGGCGCGCTTGCTCCCGCGGGGCCGGCCTCTCCTCGCGAGCCACTCTCTGGCGCCCCCCGGGCCCAGCCGCGGGGGCAACCCAGAGCGAAGCACTTCCCGCCGTCGCGTCCTCCCGACGCGAGCAAGCCTGGGTCTCTCTCTCTCTCTCTCTTTTTCTTTCTTGAACCGTTCGTCCCTCATGTGTATCGTTTCACCGATCCCCATCCCCAGCGGCGTGGCCTGGGCCCCACTGGCCGATTTAACCCCCCTAGATGGGGAGATAGGTTGTTCCCTTCGGAATTCGAGGGGTGTATCCCCAACGGGGGGGGTAATTTGGAGGGGGTCTCGAAGGGGATGGGGATGGGGATGGGGATCGGATAAACGATAACTGTCCTAAGACCAGCCGGGGCCGCCTGACTGAGGCCCACGCTCATCCTCCAGCTCCTGCAGTTCCCGCTCGAGCGCGATGCGCCGGGAGCGGTCCGCCTGCCAGGCCGCGTGCGTTTTTTCGGCCAGGCCCGAGGCCAGGGAACTGGTCGGCCACGCGCAGAGGGTATGGGCGGAGAGGGGACGGCTTTTTAAAGGAGGCTGCGTTTTACAAAGCGCCTACCTCACGTCTGCAGGTACGGCCTCCGCGTGGGGGACTGGAGGAATGGGGGAGGAGGGGAGAAGAACGGAGTGCCAGGCAAGAAGAAGGGGGTGGGCGCGGAAGAGTGGGAGTTAAAGCGGAGGGAGGGAAAAGGCAAGAGGAGTGGAAAAGAAGCTGAGGGAGGGAATGGGAGGAATGATGGGAAAATCCGAAACTGGTGCAGAGAAAGGAGGGAAGGAAGGATGACATGATGACATGGACAGGGATGACAGGGATGTGCGGGGGGGAGAGCGACGATGAAGGAGGGAGACTACGGACTGGTAAGAACCCAACTGACGGGAGAACAAGGAGGGGTGATGAGGACCATGGGCGGGGAGGAGGAGGGATGATCGAGGAGGACGACGACGATGGGAGGAGGAGAAGGAGGAGGAGAAGGAGGAGACTGACTGACTGACTCATCTGCATCGATATCCATTCGCTCCTCAAAAGAGCTACTCTAGGGGTACCGCAGAGCCTGGTGTTTGCACTCCAGGGGGCCTTAAATAGTGTGGGAGCGCTAGGCCAGACGCCGCTGCCATTGCGCGCGCAGCGCTAGCAGTGGCGTCTAGGCGCGGGGGCGCTTACTAAACTTGGTTGCGAGAGTTCTCTCTTCGCTGGATTCGCAGTCTGAGCTCCTCCAACCTATCCTCCCAGGGTCGACGACTGAGCGAGCGAAGGTAGGCGAGGGAGGGAGGCTCCGAGCCCGACCGAGGAGAAGGAGGAGGAGGAGGAGGAGGAGGACACCGACGACGACAAGGGAGGAGGGCAGCGAAGCAGGGCAGCAGCACGGGCCCCCCTGCTCCAGGGGCTCTGCCTCCCGACGGGCCCGCTGGAACCGCCGCCGCCGCCGCCGGAATCCGCCGCCGCAGCCACGGCCGCCGCCGACGCGGCAGCCGCAGGCGGTCGCAGCCGAGGCCACCGCAGCCGCCGCCGCGCGTCGTCGTCGGTCGCGCGCGCGCGCAGGGAGCCCCTCGACGAGGAGGAGGAGGAGGAGGAGGAGGAGGAGGAGGAGGAAGAGGAGGAGGAGGAGGAGGAGAAGGAGGAGGAGGAGGAGGACTGAGGAGGACCTCCTCCCCCCCGGCGCCCGCGGGCCTCGTACTGCTCCAGCTGGCCGCCGAACAACGCGTCGTCGTCGGACATGCCGCGGCGGCCGGGCGCGGCGCCCGCCGCCTCTTGGGCGGCGACGGCGGCGAAACGCGGAGGAGTCGGGCGCACAGGGGGTTAGCAAGTGAGTTCTTCTAGCCTCCTCCCTCCAGGGCGAGAGCGGCGTCAGATGAAGATTGGCTCAGGATGCGTTCAAATGACGTTCCAGGAGTTCACGAGTATCTCGTGGCGCAGCCGGTGCGGAACATTAGGAGATCCAGGAAAACTTGAATATCCTGGAACGTATCATCATCATGATCCCCTTCTCTTCTGATCTTGCCCTTCGGGCGGAAAATCAACATTTCCCGTGCCCCCCCCTTCCTGGGTCTGGAGGGGGGAAGTCGCGAGGCGTCAGCGGCTCAAAAACTCGGAGCACCCCAGTGTGTTCCTCGGGGCCTTCCGGGGGTCGCGATCAACTCAGCTTGCTGCGTCGAAGAACGCATTTGAATCCCACTCCGCTGGCCGCGGTGCACTCCTGGACGCAGCACTGACGGGGAGGGGGGGAAACGAACATGAAGAGCCGGGGGGAGGAAGAGGGGGAAGGTGCACCCTGCACCCACTTCCACCAATCACGGCCCGGCCGTAAAATGCTCGCTCAGGACGTTCGAAGTCTGGGTCTTCGCTCTCCTGCTCCCCGAAATCACTTCAAACTCACACTGGCCCCCTGTTCGCCGTCTGGACACCCTCGCCTCTCCTCGCCCCTTCCCCTCTCCAACCCGGAAAATGTTGATGCCATCGGCGCCGAACGGCCCACGAGGAGGAGCAGGAACACTAGGAGGAGGAGGAGGAGGAGGAGGAGGAGGAGGAGGAGGAGGAGGAGGAGGAGGAGGAGGAAACAACGAGTGGGGGACGAGAACAAAATGGCCAAGCGGAGGGGGGGCCCCACCTCCCTGCCCCCCACCCGCACTATTACCCGTCACTCCCCTCACCCCTTCCCTCGCCAGCACGCTCGCCCGCTGCTTTCCTCCCACCCCTAGCACCATCTCTTCCCTTGTCCCTCCTCTCCCTACCCTCCCTGCTCTGAGCTCTCCCCTTCCCTCGCTCCGCCATTGTTTTTGCCCCCTTCCCTTCATCCCCGCCCCCCGCACCCCTTTGCCCTCCGCGCCCCCCGTCCCCCCTCCAAAAAGTGGAATAGAGAGATGGCGGAGTCTTGCAAGAAAGACGACGTGAAAATCTGGGGATCCGGGGCTGATAGAAGCCTCCAACTATCGGGGGTGGGGAAGCAAAACGAACGTGCGAGCACGCGCTGCGAGAAGCAACGCCTATGTCTCGCTGTCTTGCTGAGGGACTTCGAGTAGCGGGCCTCCAGCCCTGACGCGGCGGTACGTAACGTCAGCTTGTGATTCACAAATCCGTGGGCAGCGCACGTTTTCAAATACACATTTATATATCTATCTCTATATATATATGCATAAACATATGTAAATATATACACATAGATATAAGAGTTAGTTTCTCTGCTCGGGCGAATCGCGGGGTGGCGCCTGCTAGATTGAAAATCGAGGGCGGCGGCGCCAGTGATTCGCGCCGATGCCCGGCCGCCAGCGAAAAGGCGACAGAAAGCACAGACTGGGGGAGGGGGGGGGCGGGATGCAAGGGCGAGCCAGGGCGCCCCTTTTTTTGTCGAGCCGGTGCGCCAGGGCGGCGCCAGCTGCCCCGCGTGCCTGCGGGCAAGGCGGGCTGAAAGAAAGGGGGGCGTGGTAAAGTGGGGATTTGCCAAGCAGCTCACGACGCTGATGTTCCAAACGCTTCTTGGCGCCGAAGGCGGCCATGCGTCGAGGACTGTTCCCTCGGCGGGGCGACCGAAACCAGCTGCGCGCAGCAGGTTTCGCAATTCCCCGTTTCCTTCCCCGGGGCTTTCGTCCGACCTGGGCACGGGCGGCAGTCCTTCTCCCCCCCTCTGTCGTGGTCGTCGTCGCCACCGCCGCCGCCGCCGCCGTCGTCGTGACTGTCGTCGTTGGTTTCCTCGTCGTCGCCCTCGCCGTCGCCGTTGGTCTCCTCGTCGCCGTTGGTCTCCTCGTCGTTGTTTCTCCTCCCTCCTCCTCCTCCTCCTCCTCCTCCTGCTCCTCCTCTTCCTCCTCCTCCTCCTCCTCCTCCTCCTCCTCCTCCTCCTCCTCTGCCTCCTCCTCCTCCTCCTCCTCTCCTCCCCCCCTGGCGCGCGTGATTACAAAAACATGTCGCGCCCTGCAGGATCTTTTCGTCAGCCCGGGGGGGGAGTACACATTTGCTAATCACAAGCTGACATGATCCTGAGATCCTCCCCGAAAAGAGGGAAGGACGTCGGTCGCACCTATCGGATCCAGGGGCATGGCATCTTCGCCTGGGAATATGGGGAACGGCGACACCACCGCCACCATCGCGAAGACCCCTCAAGGGTCCTCCTGGTGGCAGGGTGCTCCTGCCTTCCTGGTGGTAAGGTGACCCTGCTCATTGGCGCCCCGCTCGAGATACCTCCAGCCTCCTCCTCGGGGATGTCATCACACAGGCCTCCTCGCAGCATCACCAGCTCGGGGCGGCGGCATCCCGTGGACCTCTTCGGTGTCGCGCCCCGCTGCTCGTGGTGGCGTCGCCCCTCCTTCCCCTCCGAGTACTTCCCTCCTCCTCCTCCTCCTCCTCCTCCTCCTCCTCCTCCTCCTCCTCCTCCTCCTCCTCATCATCATCATCATCATCATCATCATCATCATCATCATCATCATCATCATCATCCTCTTCCTCCCTCCTCCTCCTCCTCTTCTCCTCCCCCGTCCTCCTCCTCATCATCTTCTTCCTCCTCCTCCCCGTCCTCCTCTCTCCTCCTCCTCTCCTCTTCCTCCTCCTCCTCGTCCTCCTCCTCCTCCTCATTCTCCTTCTCTTCCTCCTCCTCCCCGTCCTCCTCCTCCACCTCCTCCTGCTCCTCCTCCTCCTCCGCCAGGTAGAGCATGTCCCCCCAACGAGCGGATTTGGGAGAAAGTTTAGATAGTCAGCGAATACTCTAACATAGTCGAAACATGCAAAGTCGTCCCCTGACATTTTTTTCCCAACCATCCTGTGGTGTTGAGTCCTCGTGTTGAAGAGACGGCGCCCCGCGTTCCTCTTCCTCTCCTCCTCCTCCCTCCTCCCTCCTCCCCCTCCTTGCCTCTGCCCTCCGCATGTCTCTCTGTCGGCACACCCCTCACACGTTTCATGGCCCAATAGGGAGCTCCAACTACGGTCCCCTGTTGGGCAGCAGCCCCGACGTGATATGTGAGCTCATGAGCTGCGTCAAGACGTCGCGGGCGAATGATGGATTGTAGTTCCATTGGAAGAAGGTTGAGCACTGCGGTGTTCTCATCGTACTTAAGGACCACATGGCAGATATAACCTCGAGCACCCAGAACAGTATTGCAACAGTGTCGAACGAGTATCGCTTCTCAGGGCCCCACACGTGAAAGCCCTCAAGTTTCGACACTTTCCTGGTGCTGGAAGTTATTTCTGGTGGTCAAGGCTATATCCTGTTGGAACGTCATAAGTTGAGCAAATGAAAATGAGGACCAACGAGAACATCACGAATAATTTGGGACAACCCATCGTCAACAAAGAGTCCTTGATTTGGTTGGCCACATCACATTCTGCAAAAGGAAGAACGGGCACCGTCGGGAATTGGCACGAATGCTGAAGGCATTCTGCGCCGTGGCCCTCCCCTTCCTTACTCCTCCTCCTCCTCCTCCTCCTCCTCCTCCTCCTCCTCCTCTTTCTCCACTGTCTCCTCTACCCCCTCGGAGTCACCTTAGCGTGGCCAACGGGCCGCTGTTTCTGTTTCGCCCTGCCCACGCACCGCCTGGTGCAAGGCACACCTGACCTGACCTGACCTTGGCGGGGCGGGTGGAGGTTCTTGAAGGGGCCCCAGGACACACAAATACATACACACAAATAAACTGATTCCCCATAGTTTCCCATATGTTGTGGGTTTTTGTCTTCCCCCCCACTTCCCATATTTTCCCGTATTTTCTGGGGGATCGACGATTGATTGTGTCTGTGTTTGTTTTTCCCTCCTGAATTCTATCAACCTTGCGTCCGACCTGAGCCAATGAATGCGAGGAATAATGTGTTCAGCGCGTGATCCCAGGAAGTCCCAGCCCTTCCCCTGCGACCAACTTCCCATCGCGAAGCGTGTTCTGGCGGGCGTGAGATCCAACGAGGGCCCCTGGGGGGCGAAAGAGGCCAAGAACCTCAGTAGTCGTTGTGGCACAAACTGACATGGATTGGGGATCCGTAGGTGTGGCGCGTGGGCACCACGTCCACTGATCGTGGCACGTGATAACCAAGCCATGGCGGCAATACCGCCCGATCCGGCGACTGCGCGCATCGACTCCAGGCGAACAGCGGGCCTCGGCGCCAATCCACGCGCCTCCAGCCATGTCTGCGCCTCCTCGAGCGATTCCTCTCGACGCGGAGTCGCACCTGAGACCCCGCCCCTCGGGATCGGGCCGAAGATCCTCAGAACGCGGGCTGGCGCCAACGTGCGCTTGCCCACCGAGGCGCCCTCCATGCGACGCGGGTGGTGGAACCAGGGCCGACACAGGCTGCGCGCCGCCGGCGGAGCCAAACGGGGTACACACACGCCAGGACCAACACATGAGCGACGACCAAAAACGGGCCTTACGCGAGATGATACAACGGCGGCCTTGCGCCGCGGCTCAACGCGGGCCGCCAGCGCGGCACGCTGCGGTGGAGACGAGTGCGCTCACGCGCGAGCTCACGCGGGCAGCTTGCACGCCAATGTCGGCGCATGATTACGACTCTGTTTTTGTTCAGCGCTCACATGTCCTGAGGGTCATCGAGCGAGGACAGCGGAGGAGCCAGGCAGGCGCCTCGAGGCGGCGCGGCGGGTCCGGCGAGGGTCGCGGGCGCGCGGCGGGGAGCCCAGACGGCTGCGCGGCGGGCGCGGCGAGCGGTGGCCGAGCCCCTGCCCGCCGCAGCTGCCCAAGCTTTCACCCCGCCCTTGGAGACTCGGATCGGCGGCCCGCCGAGCGGCAACT